GGAGGTTGCATTGACTTTTCCTCCTCCTCACACACGTCCATCATCCAGTTTTGCCTAAAAAAAACCAGGAAATGATGCTCCCTTCATTCCAGATTTAGTGCTGGGAGCTGTTTTTCCTGGGATGGAGGCACAGTTACCCTGCTGCAGGATCTCAGGGTCTCCCTCCCTGCTCCTCAGGCTCCCCTGTTGTGCTCAGTCCCAACTTTCACCACTGGCACTCAACAGATAAAGCTGAAAGGGGGATACAAACACCAGCCCTGCCTTGTGCCTTCCTCCCATGGGGCTCTGCTGGGAGCTGGGATGCTTTTGGGGTGATTAGTGAAGTCTGGGGATGTGCTTTGCCAGACAGGGGGGCTCGGGAAGGTGAGGGAAGAGCTCATTCCCTCATCCAGCTTTTCCGTGCCGGGGCTCCTGCCTGGCACAGGCTGGGCATGGGAGCAGGTGCCAGCCAGAGAAGAGCTGTTTTCCATATTTTCCCGAGCCTGGTTGTCACCTCTGTGGGCAGGTGCCTCTAACCTGATGAGGTATTTCCTTATGGATGGATTCCCAGGGAAGGAATTGTGCTCAGGGCTCTCTGACAGAACCGGGAGCGCGTCGGTGGGAGCCGTGCCAGGGAAGGGTTAACAGAAATCCCTGTTCCGTGCTGTCCTATTGCATCCTGACACTGTGCAAAGTAGGTGGATAATTCCTTGCTCGCTTTTCAGGAAACCCCTGTGGTGGACAGCCCTCATTAATTGTTGCTGGGAAACTGCTTTGACGTCACCGGAGCAGTTCCCTGGTCCTTGGATGGAGACAGGAATAGCTCCTGGTGGGGAAGGCAGGAGTGGTGTGGAATGGAGCAGGGAGCTCTGGCGGGGGATCCTCAGCCTGGATTTCTTCCCTCTCTCCCAGTTTTCTGCCCAGGGACCCTCAGAACTGTCCCCAGGCCCTCAGTGCTGTGTTGGGAGCCCTTCCTTCTCCAGGGCTGTGTCTCGGGTGGTTCCTGTGATCCTTCACTTTTTAACTGTGTTGGTTTGGGGTTTTTTGGTTTCAGTTATAGTTTATTTTCTCCCTCAGAGTTTGTAAAGAAGTGGTGAGAGGGTCCTTGCTTGGATCCCTGCAGCTCCCAGAACTCAAAGGAAAGGAACAGCAGCATCACTGTTTCCTTTCTTTTTAACATCAAACTCATAATGTCCCTTTTCCCACCCAAGGGGAGAGCAGGGCTGAGGTGGCCCCTGGTGCTGGGAGCTCAAGGCAACCTGGAACTGAGACTGTTTAATTCTGCCTTCCTTAGAGAAGTGGTTCTTAGGACCATTTAACTCCTGGCATGTGTTTATACACCTTTTACACATTTATATTTGATTCCTGGGTATCACATTTTGGCAGTCCTGACACTGGTTGTGTCACACTCCTGGAATACAAGTTGACACCTCTCCTGGGTTTAGTCCTCACCTTGGTGGAGGGAGGTAACAAAATATCCAAGTGTTTTATTCCCCCTGAAATTGTCTCGTGCTTTGATTTGTTCCCCCAGCAAAACCTCCTGGTGCTCCCCAGAATTCCCTCAGACTCTTGTCTCACCTGCATTCCCTGTCTCCTTGTTTATATAAGCTTTTTTTCCCCCCCCTTTTCACCTGGAGGCAAACCCTTCCATCTGCATCACAATTTCAGAACTGGATGTCATGTGGGGGTGGAGATTAAGACTTAAAGCCATGACTAAGCACTGGGACTCCGTGAGGGCAGAGATGTCTGGCCTCCTGTTGGGAATTTTGCTGGGTTTTGTAGGAATGGTAAAGGTAGTAAGGAATTAAATCCTTCTCCAGCAATGGAGAGAATTTGGGAGAGGTGGCTTTGAAGTTGGAGCTTATGGGTCTTGCTGGTTTTGGGGTTTCTCCCCCTCTGACTGGGACCTGCTTTCTCCAACAGGAGGGAAGGGAAGTGAGCTCCAAAGGCTCTTCTTTACCTGTTGGAATTCCAGCCGAGCCTGCAGATTTTTCCCTGGGATGCCGGGGCTGCTGCAGAGTTGTTTTGCCCGAGTGGAGCCCAGGAGGGAGCTGTTTTGGGAGCTGTTTCGGGAGCTTTGCTTGCCTTAACAAATCCTCCCATCCCGGCCTCTTGTCGCACGTGGCACAGCCGGGACCGTCCCGGCCGCTGCTCCCTGGCCGAGGAGGAGCCTCTGGGATGATCCCTGGGAGCGGCAGAGCCCGAGGACCCTCGTGCCTGGAGCGGCAGCCCCCTCCCCACCCCACCGCCTCCACTTTTCCCCCCGTGCGTTTAAACCCTTTTCCCGCAGCCTCTGCCGCGCTGGGGGGGGGGACCTGAGTCACCCCCGCCCTGTTGCCCCTGGCGACAGGGCCCGTTGCCATGGAGCTCGGCTTCCCATTGGCTGCCGGGCGGCCAATGAGCGAATTGCTTGCGAGAGCATCACTGGTACCCAGCGAGAGGTGGGGGGGGTGTGGGGTGGGTGCTGCTGCCCCCAAAACCCAGCACTGGGGTGCTGGGAAAGTCATGGAGGAGTTTGGACTGGGAGGGACCCTAAAGGTCACCCCGTCCAACAGGGGGTCATGGGGACACGGCTCTGTTGAATGTCCTTTGGAGTGAGTCTGGGAAAGCCAAACCAGACCTGTTTGATATCCAAGGGAAAGGGAGGGGAGGGATCAGGAATCTTGTCTTGGAAGCCAGGGGGGAAGGCTGTGGCGTGGACACTGTTCCCGTGGCCTGGGCTTGGGCAGGGGCTGGGAAGGTGAAGCCCACTCACACTGCACCTCAGACCCCTCCATCCCCCTCAGACCCCTCCATCCCCACCTCAGACCCTCCATCCCCACCTCAGACCCTCCATCCCCACCTCAGACCCTCCATCCTGCACCTCAGACCCTCCATCCTGCACCTCAGACCCTCCATCC